CATTATCATCCAGATACACAGCTACTCTTATTGACTTAAGTCATAACAAGTTGCTCATGTCTCAGTTTTACAAATGTGAAAAGGTAGTTACCTTTTCTAATCCCATGAAGACAACTTTTTACTTTGCTGATAATGAAGACAGGCGCTGTACCGGCTCCATCGACAAGGAACGGTTTAAACTAAGAATTCTTCAGGTTGGAACAATTTTGCAAGACTCACTTTTATCCAAAGTATTACACATTAACACATGCCAGTTTAGTGATCACTCCAATTGTTTTATAAAATTAAATAAACTTACTACTTAATTTAACAAAGACTCATAATTTCATATCCTAGCTTTCATACACCATAAGTCTTTACCAGCAAGCACTCTGCTGGAACTAACATACAGTTTTAACCTGCACAAGTCGTCGTCGCTCGCTCGAGGACAAATCGCCCCCCTGCCCACACTCGTATACTCATTCCCAACATCGCAGTCACTTTTATTCGCCGGAGAAAAAATCAGGCAACCCTATCTACTACCCCTTGGAGTTCTTATCTCGTGGGGTACTAATTGCTGACGCTAAATTGACTATGACTAAAGCTATTTTAGGATGGATAGTACCTCATGTACGTATACATTGGTGGCACTTATAAATAATTGGATAGTTAAATAAATGATCATGGAATCTCTTACTCTTCTCCCAACTCGGTTGTTGTGTAAGTTGATCGAGGTCATCGTTGTTCTTTCTGAGGCTCCGTGGACTTCTGTGTCAGTTTCTGATGTTCTAGTTGCGGCTGACTTGGGTCTCATTCGCTCTCTGTATCTTAAACTGGTTTTGTGTCTGAAATGCCGAGATCAGAGATGAGTTTTAATTATCTATAGCTTAGAATTAATTGAATCCTAAAAGTATAACTAAAGAGATTGGTTTATAGGAAATGTTATCATGCAACAGGCATTTTATTTTATGTTTTTTTTTTTACCTACATAAACAGAAGACAATAATGTCATGAAAATCTGTTGACTTAATTAATTAGTAATTTTAGTGTGGGTGTGGAGTGTGTGACTGTGAAATAAGAAAAATCCTCATTTTCTACCACACAACTACGGCAGTACAAAAAGGCAATGGAATCATCAAACCTCTCTGAAGAGTCCACGAACATAGCTGCAAACTGTGACGCCCAGCGTAGATTATCACCGCATCCGCCCCATTTGAAGTTTCCATTTGGAGGTTCCTGGGGAGGAGATGCGCATGAGCATTGCGGCAGCAGACCTGAAGAGCATGCTCGTGCTACTGCATGCGTGACTGCAGCAGACGCCAGCGCGTATACGAATGCCTGCTCCCGCGTACCTAAATGTTGACAATATGACTAGTCTTACTTTTCACATTGTAAAAAGCATAATAATTGACTTCAAAATCCCCGAGGTTGCCTTTCGCAGATGGGCTTGGCAATACAGTACTTAACATATATAAAAGACGGAATTACTTTATGTTTATGCTTTCCATCGACAATCGTAACCTCAATTTCCCATAGTATATACACCTCCGGAATTTTAACAACATCCTCAATGCCTTTGGTATTAATTCACAGTTGTACCGTATGGGAGGGTAGCCCCAGAGTCCCAGGCACATCAACCAAGCTTATTGTGCATAAGTGCACAAATAGACACAGATCAACTCTTTATGCTTGTATTTATACATCTTATCCTTAGCTCAGATTCCAAGATGGAAGTGCAAGTGCAAGCATGATAATAATACCCCTCAAATAATCGTATTCGTAAGTACACACGTAAGTACGCCGTATTTCGAATCGTAGCCCCGGCAGCTCCCTCCAGAAACTGCCAGAGAGGCTCCTCTATTCTGATTCTTTGGGGGCCGGTGAATTACACGTTTTGAATCGCTTCAATTCGATGAACTCGACCTTATAGTCCACGATCCTATGAGGTTGCCATCTGATTAAATTGTTACTTTCTTTTATATTTAAAATCAATATTAATTTTTTATCATTGCAAAATTATGACCTTCTTATTCCGCGGTCACAAAGAGATCGCGGACGTATTCTGTGATCACGCTATGATCGTGACGTTTGATCACACAATCTTTTCAGACGCTTTCGGCGATCAAGAAAATAAAAGCTCGGCTCAAAAGTCAAACCACCGAACCATCTTTGTCCGAGAAATTTTTACTGCGGAAGTAATATACAGGGATTCCCCAAGTGAGGCTCGTCCAAGCCAAGGCTCTCGTCTTTACTACCATAAATACAGCTCTTCTACCACATGTGAAGTGTGTACCATTAATTAAATTGAGAAGTACATATTTTGGTAAAAGAATACGAAGAGGGTATATTTCATATTCTTTACCTTCAGAAGTCATATTAAGAAAATAGTTGTTCATATGGAGATCGAAGACTATATTTCAAACCAAACTTACCAGATGTAAGGTCTGGAGTAAAGTTTGGTGCCAGGAGGACCGAAGAGCAGTTCCATCTTCTATCCTGTAGTACGTCCTGGCACACCGAGACAGCAGTGAATGCCGCACGAACTACCACGGCGAAGACCTCAGGGGAGGTCCTGCACAGGCGAGTCTGTCTGCGGGAGAGTTGCAAGGAGTTCCGGACCGAGCGACACGCTGAACTGGAGTTCCAGTGGATGTTACCGCTAGAGTGGAGCCCTCTGGAATATAAGAATATGACATAGCTGGAGTCAGCATCGCAATGTGCAAAATACCACAGGGCCAGTAAGACCACCTTTATTTTCAGAATAAATACATGGGTGCTATATATTGTGCTGATGAGAAGGTGTTTGTTTTTAACTTTTTGTGATTATTCCAACAAATTAATTTAACACATTGTTGCAATTGCAGTACAAACAAGGCGATTATTTGACAGTATGGACGATTTTGAAATTTTGCATTGTATCAACAGTTGAAGATTGCATTCACTGGTTCTTGAATTAATGTTTCAAGCTTGTTGTTCGATTCGTAAACGCGTGTTTAATTCATAATATGTAGGATTAAGTCTTAAAATATAAAACACCTTATCGAGAGCAAAATTTCGTTTATATTTAATAGGGTGTTCCGAAGGTAAATCCAACAAATTTAGGCAAAAAAATATCATTGTATATTTCCATAAAATAACCAATGTATTAGTTATTTAAGTTGTAAAAATTAAATTGGTCACCATTTTGAAACCAAATAATATTTTTTGTTATTATATTTTTTATACATTATGACTTGATAAAGTCGTATACAGAATTTCATAAAGATATCTTATATATTAAAAAAAATGTTTTTCTCTTCCGAGTTCGTTTGGCTCTTCTATCCGATTTCACACCAAGCATCGGAATACATTAATCTAGAGACCCACTCGGCTTATACGTTAACGAAATTCGATTCTTATGAATTTCTTATGGGAGTACAATTTGGGATTTCTTTTCCGAGTTCGTTTGGCTCATCTACCCGACCGATTTGCATTATTGATGTCTCAAATTGAAGGTATGCACGCACGGATTTCAGATCAAGCATCGTCATATATTTATCTACTATATTAGTCGGAAAAACATAAATTTGATTTATTTTCGAATTCTCACTTCAATTTAACAAGTATTTCACCAGTTATAATAATATAATCTATCTATAATATTAAAACGAAAGTGTGTTTTTTTATTTCACGATTCTGAATCAACCACTCGACGGATTTTCACGATTTTTGTGTTGAAAGAAAGATAATTTTGAAAACTAGGGAATGTCGAAGCCATAATTTTAGTTTAGGGTCCCAGTTTTTTAGAAATTAAGTTTTAATTTTTAAAAAGTCTAGCAGCCGACGCTAAGATTCTAAACTAGCTTTTGGCATAAAATAATTTGCTTACATAACAGCTGTAAACATTCAGCTTTCGAGTCACAAATTCAGCATTTGGATAAAAATGTAAAGACATACTTAGGGTTGACTTATTTATACTATGTGTAATGCCAATCATTGATACGTTCAATTCTTCTGTAAGAGGATGACAGATTAATTTAATATACATAGTAAAATACTAGGATGTTCAAATTATTTTTTTAATCAGTCTTTGTAATCTTCGATTTGTTTTAGAGCAATATAATTTGTTTTAACTAACAGCTGGTTAGTTATAAAAATGCCATACAGAACTATGAGGTTATTTACTCTGATTTTGTCATTGATTATAGGAAATAAGTAAGATTAGTAGACCACCGAGATAAGTAACACCATCGATGTGTACAAGTCGAGGCTCTGTACACGAGTTAAATAAAGAAGATATGCAAATTATTTTACTTCTCAAAGGGATTTACTTGGAAAGGGTAGGAAAATCAAAATGTTTTTATGTTTTAATTCATCTTGAGTAGGGTAAAAATGAGAGAGCTAGCACCACCGTGTTATTAAACGGCTGAGAGAACTGGCACGGGGAGAACGTACATGGGTGAGAGAGCTGGCACGGTGAGAGAGCTGGCACACGGTGTCGAAAGTTTCCGTCGGCGTGTCGGGGTGGACGGTTGAGAGAGCTGGCACCGCGGAGGCTGGCACACGGGAAAGGTGTCGGAGGTGTGTCGGTTTGGAAGGGTGTTTGTTACCTGATGTCGGGCGTACGACAAGATGTATTATAAATATTTTTATTTAAAACTCGATTTTTAAGGTGGTAACGTTTGACTGACAAACGCTTCTCGCTTCTGCCATTTAGTGTTGAGTGTAGATAGTTTTCCAAATGTGTGGAGTAAATAGAATGTTAAATTGTTAGCCTTATGTAAGAAATAATGGATAAATAATAATATCTTAATAAATTAATTTAAAAACACTTATGGTGGACTTAAAAGCGCTTTTATGGCATGTCATTTAACGATGACGTTGTTTACCATGAAAACAATTTGTTTAATAAGGATATTTGTACATTTATATCTGAAATTCATTTATATCATAAAACTACTGTTTGTATATTTAAATAAATATTTAGCGCTGAGCTGATAATTATCCTTGATGATGCAAGGCTTATCGTGACGTGCAAAAACTCTTGATAGGGATTATCATGGATGCAGCATTAGTTTATCAAAACATAATAATTTGCGTAACCATTACAAAGTGCAGCGTTGCAGCGTGTGTGTTTAATGACTTCCGACTGATAACGTAAATACCACGTGTGGAGGTTAAGGTCAAAGACGTCATATCTTATCAGTATATATATAGATATATAATTCGCGCACACAAAATCATTATCATCATGTCTTCCTCCAACGCGCTGACCACACCCTCCACCTGGGACGTTTCCATCGTCGAGGGATCAGGCCTGGAGAGTCTTGAAGACCTCTACATTATCTTGAAGGCAGTGTTCCCTCAACCTAATGTTCAGGTAGGAAAAAAATAAAAATATTATTGATAAAAAACTTTAGATTTATAAACGTTATACTTTATATCTTTAAAATGTTTTCAACCAAATTCACCTAAGATTCAATAGTGATGATATGTTATATCACTATCTGATAAATACACTGTATATTAAACTTATTTGCAAGTAATAATACCCTAAATTAAATAATCATACTTATGAATTAAATTATCAATGTCAATTTCTATTTTTATATCTACATTTTGAATTATGATTATTTCAAAAATGATTGCCCAAAAAACTAAATTGTCATTGTATGGAACAAGAAGGCTTTAATTTATCGTTTCATGTTCATCATTATTTTCTTTGTTAATTAATGTTTAGGTTGATTAATTATTTTTTTACCTATAAATTAAACTTATGACTAAACCTATAACTAAACTTTGATATATTTCTAGATAAGGTACAGAAGATAACAGCACTTAATTTATTTTAACACACGTTTAAAAAATATTATAAATTAATTTTATTTTACATGTTTGTTTAAGTTTGAACGGAGGGATGACCAAACATACAGAGTACGGCTGCCGTATTGTGTGAAGCTCACATCGCTCCAGGCCAGGTTTGGGGAGTATGCTGGGGCAGTGACAATAATCTCCGCTGCGGCAGACCTCACGTTGGCTCAAACCAGACGCCTGGCTGAGCTGCGCTCGAAGATCATCAATAGTAAGAGATAGTGAAAAACCATCAATTACTATAGTACAATTCATCGTAGGGACTAGCCAATTATAGAAAAATACATTTTATAATTTGAATAAGAAATACTCCATATCATTGTCAAATATAAATTACTATTCTATTGTAATCTGTTAACGATGCAAAACTATCTTGCAACGATTAAACTCAAATTTTGTAAACCATGTAATACGTGGTACAGAGAATCTGACAATCACCCTGCAAGTAACACTCATTTAAAAAATACATTGGGCTATTTGCCAATTATTGAGACCGAGTCTGCTGCAAAATGTAGGCTTAAAACCTATTACTTAACAAATGGTGAAGGATACATCGATATAGGTAATTTTTTAAAATATCACACGAAACCTTTGATTATTTCAAAAATTCAAGAACACCTTCTTAAGTCGAAAACTCTGAAATGTAATATTATTTTAAAATGTATCTATGCAAGAACTGAAGGAGAAGAAGATGAAATCAAAGAACTGTCATTTAAGACTGCAAACGAGCCCATACTACTAGGTACAGATCTAAACACGTATTGTAAAAACGCTTTTGATAAACTTTTAACAGAACAATCAGAACACCAAGGTAAAGGTTCAGGATGGAGTCTAAAGAGTATTATAGGGCTGGAACTAAGAATTAATAAATACTATCCATTAAGAGGATGTAAACATATATCCTTACCAGCTTTCATTGCAAACAAGAAAGCTGTTGTAAATGTAAAGAATCAGGATGATTATTGCTTCAAGTATAGTATATGGGCGAAAAATGTACCTCGTAATCCACAAAGAGTCCGCAATTATATTGATAATGCAGAAATGAATGCAGCGTATGACTGGGACTGTATTAACTATCCTGTAAAACTTAAGTCAATACCTAAATTTGAACAGATAAACAATATGTCTATAAATATATTTGGAATAGAAAAGAAACACAATAGTGAGGAATATATTGTATATCCTATTAAAGTAACAAAACAAGAAAAAGATGATCACCGTGATTTATTACTATTGAAAAATGAAACAACATCTCACTATGTGTGGATTAAAAACTTTGATAAATTAGTAAGCGCGCAAACCTCTAACCACAACGGAAGAAAATTTGTTTGTAAATCATGTTTAATCCATTTTAATGATAAACCTACCTTCGATGTACATAAACAGCTATGTAACAATCATGAACCTGTTGCTGTAGAAATGCCTAATGAAGATAATTGTAAACTTAAATTTAAAAATTTCAAACACCAACAACAAGTCCCGTACATTGTATATGCTGATTTTGAAAGTATATTAATACAAAAAAGTCCATGTAATAATTGCAATTCTTTTACCTGTAAAAATCCCAATGAATGTTGTATTAACTGTTTCCGAGTCAACTGTAAAAATTTGAATCAATGCTGTTTGAACTGTAAAAGACCGAATTGTAAGAACTCCCACACCTGCAAAACTAAACATGCTACGCAAAATCAATCTACCTCTTCAACTGTTGACTATCAAAAGCACTACCCATCAAGTTTTTGTTATTATGTTGTTTCAAGTAATGGTGAAAAATCAGAACCAGTCCTTTTTCGCGGAGAAAATGCTGTGAAGGTATTTTGCCAAAAGATCAGAGATGAAGCTCTTAAAGTGTACGAGACGTACAAAAATAAGTTGCCTATGGAGTTAACGGATGAAGAAGTGGACATGTTTGAACGTTCATCTTGCTGTCACATATGTGAAGAACAGTTTACTGCTGATAATTTAAGGGTTAGAGATCACGACCCTAATACAGGGAAATTTAGAGGTGCAAGTCATTCAAATTGTAACTTGTCATATCAAAATCCACACTTTTTGCCCGTAGTCTTGCACAATATGTCAAATTATGACCTCCATTTTATTATTAAAAGTCTCGATTATGATGAAATGGAAATAAAGGTAATCCCTAATACAGAAGAACGGTATATCTCTTTATCAAAGAAAGTTGCTGCTAGATTTGAAATTCGTTTTCTTGATTCGTACAAATTTATGTCTAGAAGTCTTGATGAACTAGTCAAAAATCTTGACAAAAATCAATTCAATGAAACACTTTCTTATTTCGGTTATGATAAACTTAATATTGTTACAAAAAAGGCTGTTTTCCCTACGAATACATAGATGGCTGGGAAAAATTTAATGAGACTAGCTTGCCTTCTATTGATCAGTTTTACAGCTCTCTAAATAAGTCAGAAGTTGCTGTAGAAGATTATAATAGGGCTGTTGAGGTTTGGAACAAATTTAACTGTCAAACCTTAGGAGAATTTTCTGATATCTACCTTAAGACTGATGTGTTACTATTAAGCGATGTATTTGAAAATTTCCGAAAAGTTTGTAAATCCAATTATGGTTTGGACCCAGGTTGGTATTTCACAGCTCCTGGCCTTTCGTTCGACGCGTGTCTTAAATTGACTAAAGTTGAAATCGATTTGTTAACAAGCTATGAACAGTACATGTTCATAGAAGCTGGTATTCGTGGTGGTATTTCTATGTGCACTAAACGTTACTGCGAGGCATCAAATAAGTATTTAGTTTCAGAAACAAATCTTGACTCGGAATCACAACCTGGTGTCAAACCTATGGATCAGGGACTCTGGACAGTTGATAATTCAAACTTTATATTATTCCTAGATATAAATAACCTTTATGGGGCTGCAATGGGAGAAAGTTTACCGTTAAAGGACTTTAAATGGTTAACCCCTGTTGAAATTGATGAAGTAAAAAATAAAATTAATGATATTGGTGAAAATGATGAAGTAGGGTTTATACTTGAGGTAGATCTAGATTATCCGGCACATCTACATGAACAACACAACGACTTACCATTTTGCGCCCAAAGAAAAGTACCACCAGGTAGTAAACATTCAAAATTGTTAACAACTTTAGAACCTAAACGTAATTACATAATTCACAGCCAAGCGTTAAAACAGGCCGTAGAGCATGGATTGGTTTTGGTTAAAATCCATAGAGGTATGAAATTTGTTCAGTCTAAGTGGTTGTATGGATACATCGAAAAAAACACAACATTTAGAAAAAATGCGCAAAATGAGTTTGAAAAGGAGTTTTTCAAACTCATGAACAATTCGGTTTATGGCAAATGTATGGAAAACGTAAGAAACAGAATGAATATGGAAATAGTTTGTAGCACTAAAAGGCTCGATAAGCTTATTGCTAAGCCTAATTTTCGTGATAGAACTATATTTACAGAAAAACTGATAGCAGTTCATCTAAATAAAACTAAAGTAAATTTTAACAAACCCATTGCAGTAGGTATGGCTATTCTTGAACTAAGCAAAATCGTAATGTATAGATATTTTTATGATATTTTTCCTCGTGTATTTGGTCAAGGAAATGTAGAACTATTATATACAGATACGGATAGTTACCTTATAAATGTAAACTCAGTTGACGTATATGAGCAAATCAAGGAGAATATACATTACTTTGACACTAGTGAGTACCCAATAACACACGCTTGTTTCTCTCTCGATAATAAGAAAAGACTTGGTGTTATGAAAGATGAAACTTTATCAGTTCCCCTAAAGAAATTCATTGGTCTTAGGACAAAGCTATATACTACTCTTAGTAAGAATTATGATTGTAAGAAACGTGCTAAGGGTGTAAAGAAAAGTGTTGTTAAAAATGAAATAACTTTTCAGGACTACGAGAGAGCTTTGTTTTGTAATCAAAACCAGTACAAAGAAATGAATATAATTAGGAGTAGGAAACATGATGTATACACAACGAAAGTACGAAAACTAGCGTTATCGTCTCATGATGATAAAAGATTTGTATTAAATGATAATATCCATACCATGGCATATGGCCATTACAAACTAATTGAGAATAAAAAAAGGAAAATTGATTTACACAAAGAACTGATTGCAAAAAAAGCTAAAATGACCAATGATTCTTGTTAAGCTCAAATTATTTGTTAGATTTGTATGTAAGTTAATTTAGTTTTTTACTTTTCAGATAATGTTTTTTTGGAAACTGTACCGGTCAGGTACGAACAACTTTCTGTTGACGAGGGCTTCCTTAATATGCCTGAATACGAGAACATGGGTCGGGTTGCTATACCTCTGCACGCATTTTTCCCTTCCTGTATTTACACTATAACCTTAAATCCTGGAGAAAGAAAAACCATATCTGCGGGTATAAAAATTAGAATACCTGAAGGTTATGAAGGACAAATTCGACCGGTAGCATGGCAAGCGGAAACTTTCGGGGTGACAGTTTTAGACTCTCCAGCGTCTATTGACTCCAACCATACAGACGTAGTCAGGGTTAACCTAATAAATCATGGAAACGAGCCGTTCAGCATTAATTACTGTAGTCACATCGCAGATCTTGTCCTAATAAAGGTTGCTAGGGTGTGTTGGGTCTTAAACGGTGGTTCCGAAGATCACGATGATCCGGACTGTAAATTAGAGGAAATAATTGTTGACAATCATGTGTCTGTCATTGTAAGAAGGGACATTATCTAGTTACAAATAAATCAAGTAATTTGAGCTTTACAGTAAATTTATGTAAATAGTGGAATAATAGAAAGTATTATGACTGTAATGAAAAAAACTGTAAACTTAACTTATCTATTTAGTTTGATTGTTTATGTTTTTAATTACTGTAACCATTGAATCTTCAAATTAATACATAGATTTTTTTTCATAATTTTGTAAGTGTAACAATTATATTTGACATTTGTTATGTATATTTGTAATTTTGATATGTTTGTAAATAAATATAAATTATTTTGACATACAATCTGTGTTCAGTGTTATTTATTACCTACCTTGTTTCAGATTAATTTATCTCCCTTTCATTTATCTGATATAAATATATATTTATACACAATTAAATATTACGTCATGAATAAAAACATAGTTATATCAATCAAAATAAGAGAATAGCATCATTTGATGTTTGACTTTCAAGACGATGAAACCAAGTATCGACAAGTTTGGAGGTTATATAGGTTTTACTTCCAAAGAAAACGTTGTAGTAGGACCTTCAGGAATAGGTTTCAAGCTAACTGATAAACAAAATTTTAATATTGAAAACAAAAGGTTAACAAACGTAGGGGAAGCTGTCGATTCTAGTGATGCCGTTACTTTAAATTATATTTCATCAAAATGTCTATTGTTAGAGGATAAACAAGTTAATTTAAGAAAGAGAAAAATTGTTAATGTCAA